GAGCCGTAGGGGTACCTGCAGAATGACAACGCCATTGTACTGACACGTCATATTGATAACAATGCACCTGCAATCACCATGTTTTGCTTATTTATACCAACAGTCGTATTTAACCTCAAAAGCTGCTTGAAGGAACTACAGCTTAAATATCGGACGGACTGCTCATTGTTAGTTTCCATGACGAAGTTCTTTTTATTGTAATTATATGCGCAATACAGCTTTGTTGAATAATGTAGGTTAAATTCTCAGAAGTGCCTGAGAATATTCTGATGATGAAATCGTTTAATAATTCTGCTCGGCTGTTACATTCGTTAACTCACGCCAAGTCTCGAAACGAAACCGCGCTAGAAAGTGACGTTGCGTAGTATCGGCTTCCTCGTAATAAACAGCACGCACTACGGAAGTGCGGATTTCGCTCGCTTTTCTGCGTGCTACATTCACGGCCTCTCTCACGTGCTGTATAAATTGTCTCCATAAGACACGCTTATGAACATGATAGGAGACTTGAAGTGGCATATCTGTCACCTAAGTGCTTTGCGGTGGTCTTAACCGGTTGGTCAGCTTAAACAGCAAGAGAAGTCAGTGCAGGAGTTGGTGTCGTGAAGAGAAGTGTGTGTTTCTTACGAACAAACAAATGTGCTTTTTGTGCACGAAGCAATGAACTCGTGTTTTTTTGTTCGTGAGCTTTGTTTTTTACGTACACGAGTCCCATGTACTATATGACCAATTTCAGTAACTGGTATTGCCATTGTTTCAATGAAGATGATTACAGAACGGATTTTGCATTCATCCAAGGTAGGTTAACAGTGAAAAAGATAACTGGTCGTAATGGTCTGATGCATTTCTGTTTACTGCGATGTACCTGAGAATAAATTTTAACGCGAGGCGTTATGATTTGATCGCAATTAAACAGTAATTTTTTTTTAAGAAATAGACTTGCCAAAAATTGAAGTTCGCAGGTGGGGGAAGTACAATACCTCAAACAACACGAAAAGTTTCAGGTCACATTTTAAACATTTGTGAGTATGGGGTGTGTCGTCGGGGTCAGACTGCAAGGGGAGGGCCGGGAATTTGTCTCCTCGCCACCACTACGCCCACACCGACTCGAATGATATCGGGGTGAAGCTGACTGCTCACAATGTAGTGCCGAGGTTAACAATGTGTGAATGCGCCCACATTTCTGCGTGTGTCTTCGTGGCGAGACGCTCAATTAGCATCAGATCAGAAAGTTTGGGGAATCATTTGCTATGGCGGCTTTAATTCGTTTGAAGAAAGGAGAAGAAATATGTAATGTCACGTGACGCGAAAACGGAAATAAAACATTTTGAAGTGTGAGGTGCCCGCCGTAGTTTGGTACGTGCGCGGGCTGTGATGTTCCAGAATGTACGTGAACTGTCTGGACGAGTGTGAACCCCGACCTGTAGACTGCGAAGCAAATGCACGTAGTCTTCATCTAGCCGTCGTAATGAATAAATTTCGTTCTCTAATAACCTCGCCCTTTTAAGCGAGATCTAAAGGGTTCTGATGATGTGTTACAGTGGGATGCTGGGTTTTGTAACTTTGTGCGTCGTAAAATATTCCAACAGTGAATGAGGTTTTGGCTATTTCACTCTCCATATTTGCCACTGAGGATGGAAGCGGAAGGAGTGATCCATTTTTGTGCATAATCGTTGTCAAATTTGTCAGATAAACCTCGGGAGACTCGCAGAATCTGTCATCTCGTGCGCCGTTTTCCAAATGGCCTTTTCCACTGACTATGTTATGTTTTGCTGTGGGCGGACACTTTACATACGAAATTTGTTGCTTCGTCATTCATCTGTTCGGTGGCTTATCCACAAGGCAGTTTCCCTATTTGAGGATGTGCTGCAGCGATGTTTGGTCCAAGGCTCATCGCTACGTTCCCTGTTCTGATCCCCATGAATCCAGTGCACGTCCTCATACACTGTTTCGTCTGAGATCTATCTTAATGTTACCGCTCCACGTACGCCTAGTGTTAACTTAGTTATTTCGTGCGTGTGTGGAAAAACTGTCGTGTTCTTCAGGCTTAGGTCCCGGTTGAAAGGCGGAGTTTCATTACGGAGGACCATCAGATTGTTTAAGCCCCTCTGCAAAATCGGCGCGGAGATTTGCAATTTTAATTTTCAGAACTCAGAATGTTGAGTGTGGGAAAGAATGCCGGTCGTCCCGATTTTACAAAAGTGGCTCACTCGAATTTTTAGGATAACTTCCATGGCTACAAACAGAGATAATTTACCACCAAAGGCAAATGGATTTTGTGCAGTGGATCCACGTTTCAGTTTTGCCGTCGTTAGACAAAAATTTGCACTGAGCGTCGTTACTTCGACAGATGATCGTCATCCTTCTTGTACATTGGGTTCGTTTAGCCGGCAACATTGCAGGCGGTGATCATGAGTCTTGCTAGTCTGATTAGTCCTAAATTATTTTTAAATTCTAATTATCTCAACTATCCAAATTTAATACCAAAAAACTAAAACTTTTCCCGGCTCTCTGAATGGCAAAGCAACGACCAACAATAATTTCCCACGTAATTATCAGAGTCCCAAATGTTCCTGCTTAGGCACCCTCGAGAACCACTGGACGAATTGGAACGAAACTTGGTACGAAGGTTGTGCCAGTGGGGGAATCCGCCAAGTCGCACGTTTCACTTCCCTACAATCGCTGTTAATAGAGTGACGAGTGGCCTGGGAGATCGGCAGTGCTGCC